CCGCGCTCCGCCCAGCCCGTTGCCGTTTCGGCTTGCGGCCCGGCTGGGGGCGCCCGGGCTGCGCACGTGCATCTCGCCCTTGAGCGGACTGCGGAAGGAGACCCTGGGGTGCGTGGGGCGCGAGGGCGGGCAGCTGGGGTGGCTGGACCGCGGTGCAGCCCGACCCGGGTCGTGGGGGCCACGCTATGCTGTGCTGCTGGCGCTTCGCTCCGGTGTCCCTCTCTTGGGACCTCAACTCGGCAGCCCACCAGCGGGTAACCCCGGCAAGTGTAGTAACCGAGCCTCGGGCTCAGTGCCTGCCTCGGGTGCAAGAAGACGGCGAGTGTAAACTGGTGCGGGACTGGCAGCAGGAAGCGCCCTGTGCTGCAGCGACGTGAGGAAGTTCAAGTGTGAGTTAAAACTGGTCTTTGGGGGCCGCGGGTGTGGCTTAGTGGTGGCTCTGGGTTCCACCCCCAGCACCAAAAACGAAGGAAACAAACAGTTCTTTAGGCGTTTATTTCAGTTTTACCTGCGATTTTTTTTTAAGGGGATAGATGACATTACTCATTGATGGAAGCTGGGTTCTGATTCATCCAACTAACCAACACATGTTCAGGCAGCACGACAGTGGAGGACACCAGAGGTGGCCTAATGAAATTTAATCCTTAAATAACATTTAAGGACTTGTGTGAACCTGTCCTTAAATGTTTTGAATTTACCATTACATTGAGAAGACTATTTTTTGTATGTTTCACAATCCTCAATGGAAAAAGTTCAAGTTCATATACTTTTTGGATGTATGCTTGCTTGTGGTCTGCCCTGGAGATGACCCAGTAGTCTAAATTCTTCAAGGTCACCAGGCTAAATGGGCACTTGGGAAATGAAGTGTGACATCTGGGGAAGGAGGGAACCTTTGCTGCTCTTTGTGAAAATAGAAACATTTAAGAACATTAAGTAGTATTCCATGTAACACTTTAAATGAACTTTTCAAGTCATTGCTTTTCAGTTTTAAAATTTGATAGGAATTGAGATTTTTGTCTTGGCTTAAGCCACTTACTAGATGTATATGTAAGTTACTGGAACCTCAGCTGGTTATACAATGGGGATATTTACACATTTGCAGAGTAATTTAAGAGGTTTTACCCATTTTAAAAATACTTGAGTCTAGCATGTGGTAGTAAATGGTAGTGTTAACTGCAGATGAAAAACTGAAATAGCAGAACCTGTAAAAACAGAAAAACAACTGTTGTATTGATGAAGAACCAAGATTCATTATGTGGTCTGAAATCTCGCAAGTGAGGATTTCATCCTGATCTTTCTCTAAGTGTTTTCTTTAAACAATGCATTAGGCATATTGAACAATCCATGAAGATGGAGATAATACTGTTATATATAATCCAAAAGAGGACATTGTTTTGTTTGTTTCAGGTATATGTCATTATAATATTGGATGTATACATATATGATATAATATACTTAATTGATACTGAAAGTAAAGCATGATATGTGAATATCATGGCTAACTACTAACATTAAAATTATGCTTTTAGTATAACTAAGACACTTTTATGTTTTTGTTTGTTCTTAACATCTCAGGGTGTTAGGTAATGCTATTCACAGATGTGGGAGTGCAGGGAAGTTAAACTACTCTTCAAAGCCATGTTGGTGGTGATGTAGCTGAAACTTGAATTCAGACTTGTTTGCATATTTTTTTTTTTTTTAAACTCGTGTGGGCTTATAATATTGCAAAGCCTAGTTACCTATTCCAATTTTTAAAAAATGTAATCAGATTGTGATATTTTACCCCATGGCATTAAAAATTTCTTGAAAATTTGATTTTTAGTGGCTTTATAATATTTTGTTATGACCATTAGAAAACTACCTTGTTGAACATTAGATTTTTCCAGTTACTAGCTATGTAAAGCAATGGGAAATATTCATATTCATAAATTTTTGTCTTTTAAATTGTTTCCTTGGAATAGGTATCAGCATATATGTGTGGAATTTCTGGAAGATCTCAGTTTTTACCAGCAAGATATGGAAGTGCTTCTCTCACCATCTTTTTTATCATTAAATATTTTGATTTTAGAAATCCTTTTGTCAATTTGGTGAAAATTGATGTACCAGCTTTAAAAAATTGAGATATCAATGCACAGATCTTCATTGTCAGATGTGATGAATTTTGACAATTGTATACATATTAGTAACCACCATTCAAAATAGGAAAATAGAACCCCAGGGGTTCCTCTAGCCCCTTCTCCAAAAACAGATTTCTTCTGTCACTATAGATTATAGTGCTCTTGAACTTTCTGTAAAAGAGTCACATTTTCTGCTCTCTGTTCCTTCCTTCCATCCCTCCTTGTCAGTACATTTTTAATTGAGGAACTTCACATGTTTCGATTCTTCTACTGTCCAGCAAGGACACCTTAGTTCTGCAAAAGCTTGAGTCAGGGTTTATCTCAAGATGACCTTGCTTCAATTCTTTTATTTCCATTTGAATTATATAAGTACTGATGACAATTTCAAATCCACACCTAGGATTTTTTGGGATATAATTTTTTGAAGCAATTTACTTTAGGGTCATTTTTATTTTTATTTTTAAAATTTTTTGCTGGGGAGTACCAGGGATTGAACTCATGGGCACTGAACCACTAAGGCATATCCTCAGTCCTATTTTGTATTTTATTTAGAGACAAGCGTCTCACTGTTGCCGAGGCTGGCTTTAAACTCGAAATCCTCCTATCTCAGCCTCTCAAGCTGCTGGGATTACACCCAGCTAGGGTCATCATGGCTAGGGTCATTTTTAGAGCAGATGAATCTGCCTGATTCTCAATTTCTAACACCCCATCTAAACAAGAATCAGTTATATGGTATTTGTTTCTAGCCTATCACACTGAAGAATAACACAGATCAGAGATATTTTAGTACCCTCAACTTTAGTCATGTTCTCAAGATAAAAGCCTTAAAAGACTGTCTTGATGTATTGTGTCAACATGAGAATTATGATACTAAATCAACTTAGCTGAGATTTTCTCCTTTCCTATCCTTTTTAATTTTCACCTCTTTAGTCCTGGAGCTGACCTTTATGATTGTCAATATTCGCATCATTTTAAAACTGTTAAGTATCACTGTTGCTTCTTAAATGTTTCAAAGCCCATACTGAACACCTGCTCACCCTCCCCTGCTGCTGCCACCATCTGTTGAATGCAGATCATGATCTGCTGGGTGGGGGCTCCACAATATGTCCTTTGCTGCCATAGGTGGGCTTTCCTTTGAGCCCCTCCTAGACTTGTTGTGCAGCCAGCAGTTCTCCCCTCTTTTTCAGTCCTACCTGTGATTCCTGTCCTTCAGTTTCTTCCCTTCAGCAGACGGCCTTGCTTTGTACCTGAGAGAAAAGAACTTTAAGCAGCATCTGCCTGATCCCCCACTCCTTATACATGTCTTTACCCATCCTTTTTTTGAGGGGGGTGTACCTGGGATTGAACGCAGGGGCACTCTACCTCTGAGTTACATCCCCAACTGTATTTTGTATTTTATTTAGAGACAGGGTCTCACTGAGTTGCTTTACCTCTTGCTTTTGCTGAGGCTGGCTTTGAACTCAACAATCCTCCTGACTCAGCCTCCCGAGCTGCTGGGATTATAGGCACCCAGCTATGGCTTTACCCATTGTTTATTCCTTGGCTCTGATACAGAGGACACTGCCCCTCTCTCTACTCTGGAGGCCCTTTTCCTGCCTCCTTGCAGACCATGCATTCTCAGCTGTCTCTCTGGTCCTCAGCCTTTCCCTCTCCATTTGAATTGTCCCTGCACAAAATACGCACATGAAGGTTTCCTTGTATCAAGAATTTTTTTTAAAAGCTGATTCCTTAGATCTGTCCTTTTCTTGTGCATGGTACAAATCTCTTGAAGTAGATTTCTAGCAGCTTCTGCTTTTTTACCTTCAGTCCGCCTCTGCTGCTGACTGATGTGCTTCTGTTAGCCCATTCATATTCCTCTTGGTAATGTTAGTTGCCCTTTCTTGATGCATTTAATGGTTGTCACTCCTTTTTGTGTTTTGTAGTGCTGGGCATTGATTCCAGAGACTTGTGTATATTAGGCAAATGCCATACTGGTGAACTGTAACTTCAACCCACTCTTTCTTCTCACACCTCTCTGAGACCCTTTAAACTCCTCCTACTTCTAGGCCTCCTTTCCTTGTCCTCCACTTGGCCTGACTTGGTGTTGGTCAGCCCTGAGGTCTGACCGTTGGTCCTGTCTGTCTCCTCTGCAACATGGTGTGGCTTTTTTTCCCCACCCAGATCTGTAGGTCAAATGCAGATATCTTCACTGAAAGCCCATTAGACTTCTCTCCTCCCAGGCTGACAGCTTTGTGCTAGAGACCATTGCCACTTCCAGCCCTCAGTCTCTAGCCAGAGCTGGAGTTAGCCTTGGACTTCGACTCTTCCTGGACGGGTTGGCCTCCTCCGTCTTCCCTGT